CCCCCCCCCCCCGGCGGAACTCTGGCAATGCGTTGTAGTTGGTAGGCCAAGGCAAGGCGCGGGGGGGTCGTGCGCTACGTGCCACAAGGCGCAGCTGTAGAGTTCATCACCATAGACGATCGTATTCCCGCACACCTAGGACGGAGTAGCGAACAGTTCGGGGACCGAACCAAGTGCTTTTCGTTGTGGTCACGCTGCTTTTCGACTCCACCCTTATCCCCCAGGCACAAGGAAGCGTTATGATCTGTTACTCTTCCTGGAAGACGAGACGGTGTCCCTCCTTAACCCGAAAGAAGAGAGGCAGAATTCTGGCAGCGATGAGAGCGTGGTAAGAAGGACCGCCAAAACAAGAGGCATGTGGTGGCCACATCACTTGAACGCAGAAGGGGATGACATAGCTCCGAAGGGAGTGTAGAGCCCCTGAGTGTTGGCCCCATCGGCGCAGATGAGCACTTGGGACGGTGCGTTGCTGATGCTAGAAGGCATGCCGCTGAGCATGCATATTTTGGCGCCCCGCTGCCTGTGAACACCCATGCTGCACACCGCGCCTGCAACGGGTGAACCTCCCACCTCTCCTCCTACCCCATGATGCGATTCATGGGCCACCTTTGCCCATCGCACATGAGTTGAGACAACTTCTGTTTCTTTTCCTCCCAACCTCTCTCTCCTTCGTGAAGATCCACGTCCGCAGGCAACGTCTGCCTAAAGACTGGACCACTCGAACCAATGTAAACTCCGGCGGAGAAGGAGGGGAGGCAGACGACGGGAACGCGTGCGGAGGGTTCGTTGGGGAACTCGACTTGGCCGTGGGGCGATCGGTGTACGTCTGGGGGAGGGAGATGAAACTGGTCGGTTGCGATCCGTTCACCAGGGCGTATTACAGGTGAGGGTCGTTCTGTTTTTTCCCCGTGCAAAACACAGGCCTGGTGTATTGGGTGCCAACGTTCGATCATCAGCTCGGAGAGGAGAGGTCGTTGAGTGTTTCAGAAATATATCCAGCATAACACAAACGCCGCAAAGAAAGCGAATGGTGGTATCCCCGCCAGAAACAGGCTTCATTCGATGCGTTTGGGCGTTTTCACTTAGCACCAAACCGGCCAATTACGCCAGAACTCTTGTTTGTCTCCCTCATATCTGTGTGCGTGTATGTACCGATCGAAGGCGACACTATTGTTTTTTGCTTTTACGTACTAAAGCCTGTTAGCAAAAGGCCAACCCTTGGCGACAATTTCGTACTCGTCAACTTGTAGCAAGTGTAAGCAACGTCTCATGTGGGCCTCTCTCCCTGCCAAGCATAGAGCTCGAATTCTATTCTCTCGTGAGATCCAAGTGTTTCCCTAAATCCCACGCAAAACACAACCTTCTCCATAAACAGGCGAGAGCACGGTATCGAGATGGAAGCGAATCTCGACGAAACCGCCACCGCCGCTGGGAGACCAGCGTACAGGACCCGCAGCGTGACAGCTGCCATCGTCGGAAAACCAAGACCGGCGGACGGCAGCACGGCGGCAGCGGCGGCGGAAGGGACGGTAACGGACTACCTCACCTCAAGCCTCGGTCGGTATAAGGGGGGTGGGCCGGGGGGGGCTCTTCCCGTGGACCGTTACAGGGGGCATCGCCTCCGGTGCAAGGCTGTGCTGAGAAGCAACATGCCCAATGACAAGGGCCGGGAGGTGCGCGTCGTGTTTTGGCGTATCTATTGCGACCAACGGTGTTGGCGATTATTCGTCAAAGATACCATTGAATTCTTCGGGGCATAGTCTAGGGCCCTCGTTAAAAACTGTTTAATGCGTTCTTGGTTGATACTCCGTCGAGCCCCGAATTCTAGGCGTAACCTCTCAACTTCCGCCCCCTTCGTTCCTGCTCTCGTACCCGCTTCTCGAACGTTTTACTACCCCCCCGTCACTCTGACACCAGTTTGTGATCACGTACGACCTGGCTTGGAACACCTTGATGGTGTACGAGCTGCAGCGCCGCAACTCCGGGCGTCCTGGGGGGCTATTCCTGGTAAAGGGCAGACACCGAAGACCTGGGGAAAACAACAGGTGCGGCGGAACCGAACCGAACCTCCTCGGTACGTGAAAGGCCCCTCCCTCTAACACCCGCCCTCGCAAGAAAAAACCGAAGCAATGGATCTAAAAATATCCATTGCTTCTCTGGGTGTTGCTGTGGTCATCGTCGGTACTGGTTACGTCAGGTATTATGTGCCCCAAGACCTGTACCTAGGAGCTGTCGTACCGTTGGTGACAGGCCACACGCTTGTGGTCACGGAAATGGACCGCTCAAGTCTCGCGTTGTGTGAGGCCCACCCCCGCGAGTTCCCCCTGATGGACTGCAGGCGGGTGCTTGGGAGGATTGCCCAGAGGGCCAGGAACATGCGGCTAGCCCTGCGAAGGTAATAAGAGGCAAACATGACTTATCCCACCGTGTTTTTTAAGGCTAGGGTTCAGCAGACGAGTGGTATCCACGAAGCCTGCTCTTTGCAGTGAGCAAGGTGTCCTCACGATGAGCAAGGACGATGGAAGTGGGGCACGTCAAGAACAACTTGGACAGCATAGACAGGGTTCTGGATGCCAGAGAGAGAGGGGGAGGAAGGAAGTGGGGAACAGATGGGCGAGAGCCGAAGGCAATCGACCATCGAAGTCATGGACGAACGTCCTCTCGAGGGAAGAGTGGACTTTGATGCGTCTATTCGGAGGGGGTTATCCCCGGACATTCGACGCTACAGATAATCAGAGTAGGGGTGTTGGTTCAGGAGACCTAAGTCCCACATCTCCTCGATTTTCCATGAAAGCTGCGTTAAATGGACGTTCCGTGCATGCGATGGTCATCATTAAACTCAAATGGGGGCTGGGGGGAAGGGGTCAGCGGTTGGCCGAAGCATCTAGTTGAGGAGATGCTACTCGGTGTCCTTTCAGAACGGAAAGTACGAAATGCATTTTGCTGTGGTTCTCACCGAATAAAGCACACGAAGAATATTGGTTTTGCCACTACCTAACGCCGTGGACTCCACACCAAGTGTATGGTGGCATCCTCCCCCCTCTCAAATGCACACCACGCATTCCAGGCTCGCCTGTATACAGTCTGCACACATACAATCTCATCGATCTTCACCCGGTTTCCCAAGCTCCTGCATGGACAAATCGTTCTTCATTATGTTGATAAAGTGGCCTCCATAATGTCAAAAGGCACCGGGCCTCCCAACCCTCGTTTAACCTGAACGCCATTCTGTTGTACTCGTTTCCAAACTACCGCTCGAACCTCTCGCTCCAACTTGACAACGGCTATCCGGTCGACAGCGAGCTCCGTCGCCGAGCGGCCAACACCCAACGGAACACTGTGACAGCTGCCCGCGAATCACCTGTCGGCGAAGGAGGAAGAAACGGAGATAGTATCTCACCGTCGCACGTAGGCGCGGCCGCCGCCGCGGCAAGCAACACGTCGAGGTGGTCCGCAGGGAAGATCTTGACCAAAGGTGACGGCAACCGTAGCGGGGACAGCGACAGCGACCGTCATTGGGTACCCTCGGGAGTAGCCCCCGCCACCTCGACGGCAGAAACGCCGGGGCAGCAGTGGGGCATCCTTGGAATGAACGGCGGCAACTGCTCCGGTCAGAACGACACCAACCATCATGGTTCAGGCGCCGGTTTTAGCAACGGAAGGGGCGTTCCCTCAGGAAGGCGTGCTCGAAGCGGAGCCACTTGGGGGCTTGTCGGAGGTTGGGGCGACAGCTATGCCAACACCACCGAAACCGGAGAATACAAGAACAGCAGCACCACCACCAGCAACATTGGCACGGTAGACGAACCCCGCTGTGTTTCCGAACTCGTCCAACCATGCGTCAGCTACGGTTACACCCACCATGAGAATAGAGGAGGCAACCCGAAGAATGAGTCGGCCACGGCCCCCTGGGCTGCCGTACAGGCTGCAGGGGTTAACGTCTTCAAGTTGAGCACGGGACAAGCGGCACTCATGGCGAGGAAGTCAGCAGGCACTCCCAGGCGGGCCGACGCAGGCACGGGTAAGAAAACCTGTAGCACCGGAAGACATATGACCAAAGTAAAATAATGTTTCCAGAGAAACCGTGGTTTAAGCTTCCGCGCTTGTAGCCAAGCCTGTTGGCCGAGCTGAGGGCAAAATCCAAATGCATTTGGACGAGTTATGGTGCTCGCCATGCATGCAGGCTGGGATATCGAATGAAGTTCGATGAACATTCTCTGGTGAGAAAAAAAACAGTCCTGCGGGGGTGTCTGCATTCTTTGTCGACGTCGGCTGCGTAAAGTAGATGTGCCGCACACCTGCCGCTTTGAGGCCTCAACCGATCAACATGACAGTTTTCGAGGCTAATCAGCTCGACCTAAAACCGTTGGAGACCGACTTGGCCTTGGTGTGATCACAACGCTGTGCGACGTACGAGTACACGTGCTTGCTCGATGTGCGCAGTTTGTTTTCGTATTCGTTGATGATTGTTCACACAAACTTGATTGCTCCACTGCGAAACATTCGCGTGTGTACAATACAAGGTTTTGCCGTTCGCTAGGTGAGAGCGCGGGATAACACGAACCTCAGCAACCGTTCGCTTCTCGCGCAGCCTGCCACGGCCCAAGATATCGCAGATTGGCGTGTTTCTTAGCTCCGTGAGACACGTGAAGGTTTCAAGCGGATCTATCGTTTAGAGCGATCGTTTTCAACATAGAGCGATTGTCGAATTGCTTTTCTCGTGCAGACGTGGGAGCTAAGAGGAGCAGTGCAGAAGGCAACGGCTACGATACGTTCGAGGGTCACGAGGCGTTTCGTGATGCCATGGATGGTCTGGGGCTTCTTGTGGGGCTGGGTCAGCAGGAAGTGTTGACTCTGGTGAGGTCATTCCTCCGCTGAAACAAAAAATGCATGCCAATTGTCAACGAAGTGGGGAGGGGGAGGGGTGCCCATGTTCGTGCATTGCCTACGGAGTCTTCACGTCAGAGACCCTCGAATTCCCGGTCTCCCGCAGAAGAGGGCGTAGTGGTAGTGTTCTGCCCGCGAATGTCCAATAGTCTACTCTCGACAAATATACACACATTTTTTCATCAAGAGGCGTCAACTTGTTTCGCCTTGCGGATAGAGACTTCCCGCATACCGATATTCAGAGCTTGGGTTTCTTGGGAGTGGCCGGTGCTCGAAGCCCGAGAACATTACCAGCAGGGTTTCATCACACAAGCGTTGCCTTTTACGCCAAGCATTCAACTGCCCATGACCGTGCATCATGCAATGATTCCAAGGCCATTACCCATTGTCAGTGGTAGTTCATGTCAACAGCAGCGTGTCGATGAAAACTGCCCCGCAATCAGGGAAGATTCACACATGAGTAATATTGTACAATGCTTGACTGCTTGCAATCCGTGGAATGCATGGAGATTGCACCCGGAACTCGCATCAGGCGACGGCAGTTTCTGTCCCTTGCTTCTCCCTACATAAACCGACATCTGTCGGGCTGAGTCTAAGGGCGTGAGGGTTGGGAGGGTCAACGTGTGAGGACAGTAGCATACATGCCAGCACCTGTCGATAAGGCCGTGGCTAAGCTTCTGGGTAGTTTACTCGCGCACCGGATGGTGGCTTTCGGTTTCCCCTTTTGAACACTCTGCGTATGTAACCCGTCAGGTTCGGGCGTTCACCGACAAGCGGGGCAAAAGAATCCTGTGGGCGAGCATGTGCGACAGTATTTCGCAGCTTGACGCCGACGCCGTCGCCACCGCCACCGCCACAGCGGCAACCAGCCACGGAGGTACTCGCGGGACAATAGACACCGTGGGAGGCCTTCGCATTCCCGTGGCAACAAGGACACATCGCCGTCCACTTGAGCCACCGGCGGCCGGCGGCGAAACAGTGAGTGCTTACCCTGTTCACTGCATCGGTTTGAGAGGAAAGAGGCGCCTTGATTTCGGGAGGGTGTAGGTCGGGGCCGCTAGGTATGGCAACATGAACAGCTCTCTGAGACCGTTTCGGTGTCCAAGAACCCGGTTGCAAGATCCATCCGAGAAGGGGATGACGCCCCGCCGCCCCTTGACTCTCCCGAAGTACGTTGTACAGTCCAAAGATCTTTCCCGTCGAGACACCAATGCAGTGTTTGACCCACCCCCCGCGGACATGCGCGTGGATCACTCGGTGACGTAACCCGTTCCGAACACAGCTACTGGCGCGCATGAGAGAGGCGGGAGTACCGTGGCGAGCCGTGTTCGCCAGAGTCAGAGAAGAATCGGGAAAAGACAGCTCCTGCGGCGTTCTCGGCGTGGCGTCGCTAGTCCAGGTACATCTCCTGGTAGAGCTGCCGTCCGCATTTACTGACAACCCTATGACGCACTACACGGCGTTGGGAGTTTTGGTGTCGGCAAAACTGGCAAGGTTAGGGATTTGGGCCGTAAAGCGTGCAGTTGGGGGGGGGGGGGGGGGGGG